AATGGGAATTTTGGTGGGACACAAGGTGACTTCATGTTCTATGGAGGTGGCTTTCTTACCCAGACCTTACGACTCCATCATCTTGATCATCTCCCTCTCTTAGTTTTGGTTTCCCAGGTGGCTCAGTAGTAAAAACAAACAAATAAACAATAATACGCCTGCCAGTGCAGGAGACATAGGAAATGTGGGTTTGATCTCTGGGTTTGGAAGATCCCCTGCAGAAGGAACTGGTAACCCACTCCAGTATTCTTGCCAGGATAATCCCATGAACAGAGGAGCCTGGTGGGCTATAGTCTATGGGGTTGCAAAGAGTCAGACATGAATAAGCACACAACACTCACTCACTCACACTCGGTTTTGGCATGACATGTCAGAGCTCATTTTTTTTTCCCTTCCTCCTCGGTTCTCAGAGCTAGAGAAAGATAAATAAGAATCTCCACCCTGCTTTATCTTTGTAAACTGGAATGTGACTGGAATGTGAGAGCTGGAGGAAAGTGGAACATTCACAAGAACACATTTTCTGCTGATTACCTCCTTTTAAAAAAGAGGCTCATCTCTGTCTCCCAAAGGAGTAGAAATAACTCAGACCTTAGATTTGTGGAGTTTTTGATCCAGTGACCTCACCCACTGTACTTCTCATATCACTTAGTATTTCCCAGTTGTCATTCACTTATCACTCCCTACCTTTCCGGTGCTACCTATGTGTACTTTCTCACGTGATACACTCCATTCTAGGCCTGCTGGACTATGCATGGCCTCGCAGGTGTTTGGATGTTTCTTTGTGCTATCATTGCCATGTCTGGAGATGCAACAGAAGGAGTGGTTAAAACCTTAGATGGTCTAGATTAAAATTCTGTCTCCACCACTAATCAGTTTGGTATCCTGGTCAAACCACCTGTAAAGTAATAGCACCTGCCTCAGTAAGTTGGGAGGTGTGTGTGTGTGTGTATGTACGTGTGTGCTTGGTCATGTCTGGCTCTTTGCAACCTCATGGACTATAGCCCGCCAGGTTCCTCTGTCCGTGGAATTTCCCAGGCAAGAATACTGGAGTGGGTTGCCATTTCCTTCTCCAGGGAATCTTCCCAACCCAGGGATCACAATGAGTTAATATTTATAAAGCACTAGAACAGAGCCTGGGTTGTAGTAAGAATGTTATTATCCAAATTTCTTCTAATATTTGAAGACCAGATAAGATCCTACCTCTTATGCAAAACCCTTCTCTGACTAATCTTGCCGAGCCCACAATGATCTCTTACTCCTTTGAATATTATAACGTGTGATATTTAATTTACTGAAATAGCACCTTGATACAGCTGCAGAATAAAAAGGAAGGAAGAGAAAGGAAGGAAGGAAGGAAGAAGGACATCTGAGTTCAAATCTTGACATTGTAAATTACTGTGGGACTCTGAGGGAGTTACTTGAGTCTTGGTTTTTCCATCTGTGAAATGGCTATTTAATACCTTAACAGGGTTATTATGAGGGTTAAGTATGATAATGCTTGAGAAGTATCTCATAACACATCTTGACTCATGGTAGACCCTCAATAAATACATATGCTCTTTTTAAAAATATTATTTAGAATTTTGTTTCCCAGATTATAAAAGTAGAATTGTAGAAAATTTAGGTAATGTAGCAGGGTATAGAGAGGAAAGTTGAAATAACCTTATAAACTTCTTTCTGGAGACAACAATTTCCCTAGCCAGTAACTCCTACCTTGGAAACTAAAACACAGGTGGGTATATTTCCTTTGGTCTTTTTCTGTGAGTGTGTGCTGACACACATATGTTAAAAAGGGAACAATTCCATTATATACCAGTTTTATTGTCTGCTTTACTTTACATAGACAATTCTCCAACTTATTTAGTATTGTTCAGTCATGGTTTTCCTGAGTCATATCATATTCTGTATACATCTATACTTATTTAACCAAAACTGTATCACTGGATGTGGAGGTTATATTGGGGTTTTAACTAAAGACTGCTGCATTATATACCTTTGCATATGAATTTTTGTCACCATCTTTGATTACTTTGTTATGAGAAATGCTTAAGAATAGAAATATTGGATCCAGGAAAACACATCAGAGGATCCTGGTGCCTACTGCCAATTTTTGCCTCTTCTAGAATATGTATAAATTACATTCTTACCAAAAGTGACCAAGGGTGTCCATCACATCTCACCTTTGCCAAACTTTAACTTTTTGTCTGTTTCATCTGTTTACTTTAACCCGATTATAATCTCCCTGAGCAGGCCATGCTGCTTCTCTGTATTTACCACAGAACATTGCCTGGTGTCCTTCAGATAGTAGCCCTCATGAGTATTTGCCAAATGACTGAATTTCTATTCACAACTATTCCTCTGTGGTTAAAGAGCCAGAGAAGGTACTGGAACAATCACTTTCAGATTGGTCAAATTGAGAGAGGTTTATATACTTGCCCTTGGTCTCCCACTGAGAGGAGTAGAAAAGTATTAAATCACAGGTAATTGGCTCATGATCGGGGGCTAAGAGAGGACATGAGGTATTTTTCAGGGTCAGCTCTGCAGCATGTTTGAAGCTGGCTTTCTGTGCTGCTCTCCATTCTTCCCTCACAACTGGGTGTGGAGAGGGGTGGGGTCTGCTTTTACAGCTTTGCTGTGTGGCAGAATGAGGGGAATTTTCCAGATAGTTCCTCTTGATGGCTGTTGGCACAATTGCAGCTTTGCCTCTGGGAGCCATCAGGCTGTGGCTCCGAAAGTCTGGACAGCTGTTTCAGCAGGTCAGATTGTGAGAGCCCTGTGTTTTTGTTGGCATGGAGAGCCATGTAGGATTTCAAACCATGAATAGCCTTAAAATTTTCCCTGTCCTAGCTCCCTACTAAGTGCTTTGAGTAGTGGGGCTAAAGTGAGGAAAACAGTTATTGTCTCTTTTCCCTTCCAGTCTTCCCCTCATCAACACACACCCCAAATATAGTGACCCAGATGATTTCCTGGCACTTTTCTGAATGCCAGAGTTTCTAAGGCCATCTTCTGGGAATAATGCGTTCCTTTAGAGATTTTTTTGAACCTACAAATCCACTGTGAAGAAGAATGATACCTCCTCTCCCAGCCCCAGAGCCCTCTCTGCTGGCATAGTTCTCTTTTTAGGTAAAGAGGCTTAGAGTGTGAAAGCTTGCTATGCATTTGGGGACATCTAAGCCCATAGTATCTCTGTGCTAGTTTCACCTCCCTGTTTGCAAACTGAACGCGTTTTACAGTGCCCAGTGAACAGTTGCCCCCAGAGGCAAGTGATATAAACCAAAAGGGTAAATCCAGGCTGATACACATTCTCATGGAGAGTTTGCTTTCCTGGGAAGGGCCAGTGTGCTTCTGTATTCCCTGTAGCTCTCAGTGGTCTCCTTAGAGCAAGTATCTTTAAACTACACGTTGGAAGACTTCTCTTAGAATTAAGAATTGTTACTGTGCTAGGTGTAGTGGACTAGCAGGCCAACTCCTAGTGTGTAGAGGTTGGAAAATAAAATATAAAGCTTTATTTCCTGGACTCCCTTGCAGTTTGGGTTTTGAGGGGATTGAAGTTCTGCTAATTAGATCCACTTCTTTTGAGACTTGGATGTGGGAACCAAGTCACATGTGGGAAGAGCCATATGTGGTAGTGTGGAGCCATGGTTGTGTGGTTCTGGAGCTGCTAGCTTTAGCAACAGCGTCCCAACTCAGCAGGCAGCTTCCTGAGCTAAGCAGCTCACTTGGTGGCCCCGATCTATGGCATGGATTTGGGAATCACTCCTGGAGTCAGTTCCTTAGCTAGCCAACTCCCCCCCTCCATTTAATGTTTGTAGTAAACCCCTCTTTGTAAACCTGCTGACATAACTCTGTAGCTGCAAAGCTATCCATTGTCTTATCTTGTTCATTTATTGGCTGAGACAAAATAAAATGTTGGAATTTGACCTTTGACCTTGATTTTATTACAGATATCCTTTCACCAAAGATAGTTTTGGACTATTCTATTCCCTTTTACATGCTTTTCCTGGTGATAGTGGATGACCTTATGTTGAACTTTCCCCCAGAATTATGTTGATTGAACTGTTTAATTGGTACAATTTCTTGTGCCAATTCATACCTCATCTTCCCATAAAGAGTATTATATTATTAATAAGTATAGCTATTTAATAATAGCTATGGAATGCATATCTGCTGAAGCTTGTAACAGACACAGAAAGGACTGGGAGAAACACTTTGCTGTTTATCAAGACATAAGTACTGGCATTTCAATTTCAACAAAACAGCACTACCCTATTATATAAATCATGGTTATGTTAATTCTTGACATCACAATACAATCATGGCATCTCATGACAACTCAAAAAATGTTAATGTGATATTGTTCCTGAGGTATCACACTAGTCTCTGATTTTAATTAGTTGTCTTATGGACTTATTTTTACCCTAGTTTACTGAAACGTTGCTATGAAAAATGGACTAAAGATATTTCAGGCATACAGGGCGCTGGTTGGAAAGGCACTGATTTAACTGGGCAGGACTATGCTCAGAAATTAGAAAGTTGGAATATATTCCTGAAGGGTGTTCTTTTAATCCTTGAAGGTTTTGTCCTTCAGCTAGACACAGCTATAGGGCAGGTCAATTTGAGAAGTTAGACTGCAAGCCTGAGTGGAGAATGCTTTCTCATCTTGCAGGTTCTGTGGAAAGAGCTCTGCCTTATGCTAGATGCTCAAGGACATGTAGGAAAAAGCATTTCTGAAGAAGGAATAAGCATTCTGTCTGCAATTCAGAACTAAAAAAGGAATTTGTTTATTGAGAGCAAGAGGATGCAAGCAATATAAAAATCAAAAGCTTATTTGGCTTTAATTGACTTTTCTTTCTCTGCTTCTCAAAATGGAGTTGGATTTTATTTGTACATTTTCTATGGGTCCCATCTGCTCAGAAATCCTTACAGGGGAAGCTGTGGGGCAGATTCCTTAAGTGACCCTTTGAATTCTTATCAGGGTGGGAGTAATTGCTCAATGCTGCCTACTTCTTCCCCTTCTGCTTCATGTGTACTACAAAATAGTCATTGCACGCGATGGTGAGCCCAGCGATTAGCGAAAAGAAGCTCTGGAAGCCCACTTTGCCATCTCGACACTGGTCCAGGTCCTTCATTATTTTGTCCACAGCCAGAGGGTCTTTTTGATTCTGAAAAAAAGAACAGAAGCAAGAACCCTCAGTCAGTGGTGGCAGTGACGAGCTTCTTTGTTCTGCTGACTACGCTATGTATAATCTCATTATTTGAATTCTTCCTTTAGATCACAGTGGTATTTGGAGGTCTTCTAAATGTACTTCTCTGCTTTGAGAGAGCATTTCAGTAAATTCATATTTATTGCAGACTAGGAAAGAGGTTTCCATGGCATTCTTCTGTGTAACTCAGGGACTAGAAACAGTCTATTTCTAGAAAGAGGAGAAAGAGGAGATACAGTGCTAGAGAAGGGAGATCCACGACTCTGAATTCTCAGTCTACTTAAAATCTGACCTGCTTTACTCACAGTCCAACTGTTACCACGATTTTTTTTTCCTTTTAATGTTTTTTAATTGGAGGATAACTGCTTTTCAATATTGTGTTGGCCTCTGCCACACAAATTATTTTGAAGGTATGGACCATGGAGTTAGGTGTTAGTTGCTTAGTTGTGTTCAGCTCTTCCCAGCGCCATGGACTGCAGCCCGCCAGGCTTCTCTGTCCATGGAATACTCCAGGCAAGAATACTGGGGTGGGTAGCCATTCTCTTCTCCAGGGGATCTTCCTGACCCAGGTATTGAACCTGGGTCTCCTGCATTGCAGGCAGACTCTTAACCATCTGAGCCATCAGGGAAGTCTGTTACCACAATTTTTAAATTTATATTCTCTTAACAAATTTTCATTCCTTATAGCATGGTCAAGTCCTTAAAAAAGAAACTGCTATGAAAGACCTCATGAGATTACTTAGGGAGTAAATTTCAGATCTTTGTCCTATGGATTTTGAAGCAATGCTAATGATACCCTGGGATGGGTTAAAGAGGACAGGCAGTTGGTCCTCTTTTGTTGGCACAGCTGAGGCCAACCTAGTGTGACTTAATATCATATTAGCCAGGTGAGTAAGTGACTTCACACACCTTGGTGGACCTTCAGGTAACAGCTAAGAATTGAGGCTGGACTTGCTGCAGAGTGTCTCTAAAATCACTTCTGTTCTTAATGAGTTGGCCAATCCATGTCATCCTATACTCTTTGCTGAATGTTCTACATTGGATATGTTTCAAAAGTAGTACATGTGACGGAGTCATAAAACTCCCCACAACTCTCAATGCCTTAGCACAAATGCATGGAACTGGAATGAACAGGTAAGATCCCCTTTGTTTTTCCTTTTCCCTTGCTTTCATGGGTGACTGGTTTAATCACTCCTTTTCATTGTGTTGATGCTTAGAAGTGGGAAAGTGTAGTTTCTCCTGTAGGGTCCATGCCATCAACCAGAAGTAAATATGGCCATTTACAGGTGTTAAAGGGTTCAGGGGGACCTTCCTGGTGGTCCAGTGGTTAAGACTCTGTGCTTCCAATGCAGAAGGGCAGGTTTGATCCCTATTTAGGGAAATAAGTTCCCACATGCTGTGTGGTACAACCGAAAAGAAAAAAAAAACAACAACCACGTTAAGGGCTCAGGTAAAGCATTTATGAATCCTGTTGACTGCATACTTGAGTAAGGGAACTGACACACACTGTCTCAAGTGTGCTGGATGTTTATATAAACTGTGCCCAGAAAGCCTTTAAGCTAAGCAGCATGCCCTAAGCAGACAACTATAACCTGTCTATGCAGCTACCTCCCTCTTTTGGTGGGTTTCAGTTAATTCTGGCCTCAACCCCAGCTTCCTGGCTGTGGTCACAAGCAGTGCAATTTGGATGACATAAGGGATCAGATTTAGAAACAAAACGCTGTCAACGTAGCCACTGTGGGTGTGCCTGGAATAATGACCCCATGCTTAGAATAAATTGTACTGCCATGTTCAGAACTGTGTTGAACACTTTATGTTTATCAAACCACAAAGCCTTTAGGAAGGGTCTTTGTCTCAGGTGATAGTCATCCTGGCTTCTAACTTATGTAACAACACAATTAACGAGTGTTTAGAAGTAGACTGAGAGCTTCTTTGTGTGATGGGCAGGTTTACAATGAGCACATTTTGTCCTTGAATTTTATGCTTGCCTAGAAGGATCACAGAAAGTGAAAGTGGTCTCGGAGATAATCATGTCTAGCCTCTCATTTTATAGAGGGCCTGAATTGAGGCACAGAAAGCTGAAGCAACCTTCCCAGTGTTAATTAGGGTCCTGGTCTGGGTTTGTATCACAGAACTGTAAGAAAGCAGAGCAACAGTGTCCTCTAACTCATTCTAGGATAGCACTGTGGTAAGTGCAGCTCTAAGATACAAGTTAAATGATTTCTATCTGTTTGTTTGACTGATATTGATAACCCTATAAATCATCATGTACTATAAAACCTTATGTTTACTGGGTCAGGAGTTAGGGGCTTAACTACTGCTGTTTACTATGCAGATGACAAGAGGCAGGACTCTGCCTTTTACCATCTCCTCCCCAGTGGTTCAGATGGTAAAGAATCTGCCTGCAATACAGGAGTCACAGGTTCAATCCCTGGGTCAGGAAGATCCTGAAGATCCCTCCAGGAGAAGTTCGTCCCCTGGAGACAGGCATGGCAACCACTCCAGTGTTCTTGCCTGGAGAATTCCATGGACAGAGGAGACTGGTAGGCTACAGTCCACGAGGTCACAAAGGGTTGGACACAGTTGAGTGACTAACACTTTCACTTTCCCTTCACCCTTTAGAGGCTAATGTAATGTTCCACACCACGAACAGTACTGATCCCTTTAAGTGACTCTGGTTGTAGCAGGCAGAGAAGGGTTTGCATTTCAGTCTAGTAGCGCAGGCATAAACTCAAACTGTGCTCCTGTGTTCTCATAGCATCATCAATGTGAAAAGCAGATTTTTCTGGAACGATGCTTGGCTCTCATTCAGCAGACACTTGACACCATTCGTTTAGAGTAGTGGTGGAAAAAAGTTTCAAAGTCTTTATCTAAAGGGATTTAATTTAAGAAGGGACATAAGTGGATGTGACCAGGACGGAGCACCTCCAATGCCAGGTTTATGGACCTGAGGGCAACAAGGCAACCTGGATGATTACTCTGGTGAAAGACCTTCTTTCCCGCAACTCTGTCTCAATGGACACAGTGACTCCAGATGGAATCCTTCAGTACCTCGTATTGTGGTGATTTGTGTGTAGTCTCACTTCATTTCCAAACTGTAAGTTCCTTAAAAGCAGGGGTTCTGTCTTCTTTACTGTCTGTTTCCTCCCATAGTATCTTACAAACAGGAGGCTCTCAATAACGTTTAATAACTAAATGAATGAAAACACCTTCCTAGTAGTGACTTCCACAGGGAAGGGCTAGAAAGAGGAAGGGAAAGGAAACAGGGCCCACAAGCATTACGACTGATTCTTTCTGAGCCTTTCAACACTTACTTCCAAAAATCCAGGGAACTCCTTTTCCATGAGTACTCTCAGGTCTTCCTTTGTTAAGTAACCTTTATCACCAGCAAATTTGTGAAATGTGAACATCATGGTTTCCATGGCGTGTTCCATTTGAGACGGCATTTTGGTGAAGTCTGTTGAAACCTATTAAAGGATGTAAAGAAACAATCTACATTAACTTTATAAAAATTTTATTCATTTATTTATTTGGTTGTATTGGGTCTCAGTTGCCACAGGCAGGCTCTAGAACACACGCGGTGTGTAGACCCACAGGGTGTAGTTGCCCCAAGGCTACATTAAGTGACAGGAATTACCAGTCTTTTGAAAATGACTGGAAGAGCTCATCCATTCAGTCCTTTTCCAATTCACCCCAGGTCTGGGGCCTTCCTCCTACTGATGGAAACAGGCACTTCAGGTACTGGTGCTCTGAATGAGGGATTTTATCGAGTTGCCTGCTAAGTTTGCATAATGAAGAATAAAAACTCTGATCATCTGGAAAAGCAAGATCAGTGCCCCTTTGTTTAACTAACAAAGCACCTACTGAGAGAACAGATGTTTCACCACTTCTCTTGGTGGCGGTGGTGGCGGGCACTGGTAAATGGGACTCTTCCATGTGGATATGGCTGAATACCAACACCCACAGTCAAACCTGATTAATAAAAGAACTTCAACCCTCCAAGCTTCACTAGGTAACCTTGTTTGGTCTCATTCTAAGGTTTAGAAATCTGCTTAAAAATGAATTTCATCTTCTGAGGACTTTTTTTTTCTTTGGTGCCACACAGCATGGCTTGTGGGATCTGTGTTCCCCAGCCAGGGATTGAACCCAGGCCACTTCAGTGAAAGTGAGGAACCCTAACCACTGGATCACCAGGGAGTTCCTTGTATTCTTTACTAAAGTTCTGAACTTGTTATTGATCATAACAGTCATTTGCATCTTTGGTAGTAACATCAGTTGCCCTACCCAAATACAAGCTATCCAAAGCCTTGAGAAGGAACACGTAACGGTATATACTAATCACTTTGGGGATCGGATATATTTTTGACATCACTGGACAGAAAAGCTACTCTCACAGTTTGAGGTGCAGTAGGAAAGGAAGAGCTTTTCATTGTAAATAGCTTAAAGGAAAGGAAAGGATTTGTCAGGTCATTATATTCAGGTATAATAATCTGGGGGCATTTGTCTCATCAAGGCCCAATGCCTGGTACTTAAGAGAAGCCCAGTGAATTTTGCTTAATCGGAAGGCATGCTTCAGCAAGAACAGAGTAGCTTTGGCTTACACCAACTAAAATCACTACTGGATAGGAAACAGATGAAATTGAATTGAGACTAATATACCACTCAGAAAAAAAAGTCAGGAATTGGTTTAGAGTAGCAGTCCCCAAACTTTTTGGCACCAGGGACTGGTTTTGTGGAAGACAGTTTTTCCACAGATGGGGAATGGGGACGGGGGATGATTTCATGATGATTCAAGAGCATCACATTTATTGTGCACTTTATTTCTAATCTAATGCCATCACTGATCTGACAGGAGGTACTGGTCCACAGTCCCAGAGGACAGGGACCCGTGGTTTAGAGCCGTGGTTGAAGGGGAGGCTGGCATCTTCTCCTGAAGAGTCTCAATAGGAACTGGAGACACGCATTCCTTCTGGTTCCTGTTGCTGACACATGCATACTCAACACAGATCCCTAAATGCTATCTTTTACTGAGGAGAAGGTGGAGCTGGTGAACACAAGGATTCAGCAATTACACTTTGAGTTGAAAGTTTTACCCCTTAATCCCCAGAAAAGTACAGGAATCAGCATGCCAAAGAATGTGCTACTCTAAAGAATGCTATAAGCCAGAATCTGGCATGATTCATCTGGAAGACTTTTCATGGAGGGAGCAACAAATCCAAGGTCCACTGTGGGATGAATTCCAGAGGACTCACATCCTTTCCCCTGTCTCCTGACATGGCCAGTATCTGGCTTCACATGGCAGGGGCTTAGAGGGAGTCACCCTCACCTGGATTGGCCCTGCAAGTCCAGCAACATAAGAGATAACTAAGAGAACTGAACTGAGTGAGTCCACCTTTGGGAGAAGACTGTGGCATCCCACTTCAGTTCTGAAATATCTCAGGAAAGGAGTCAGCCACCACAGAGGTTTAAAAATACCTGTGCCCAAGCTCTACGGCCAGAGCACTTCACAGTCAATGCCCAAAGATTTCAGAAACTGATCTGGCTGTGGGACACCTCGTTCACTTTCTTCACAGGGCAGAACAGAAGGAAAATGCACTGCAAAGCCAGAGAAGTAAGAAGGGGAATGCAGCATGAAAAGGACCCCTAAGGCAGGAAACAGGCTACTTCAGGAACTTCCAAGAAATACAGGTTGTAAGATGAGGAAGTCCTGGCCACCCTTGAATACCTTCTTCAAGAGAGTGAGGCCCGTCTTCCTGGAGTGAGCACTCAGGTCTCAGGACACTCCAAACCCAGCCAGGGATGGTCTGCGCTTACTATGCACTGTGGGAGCTTTTCTGCCCCCACTGGATCCCCCTCTGCTGTTTACTTAGCACGTGGGCTGCGGCCACAGCAGCCAGTGCAGGCTCCCTGTTTGTTCCCTAGTGCTTGTACTCAGTAGGTAAGTCACGTCCACCTCTTTGCGACCCTGTAGACTGTAGTCTGCCAAGCTCTGTGTCCAAGGGATTCTCCAGGCAAGAATACTGGAGTGGGTTGCCATTTTCTTCTCCTGGGGATCTTCCCCACCCAGAGACTGAACCTGCATCTCCTGCATCTGTAGGTGGTTTCTTTACCATTTGAGTCACCTGGGGAGCCCGTTTGTTCGGCAGACCTTCTGCAATGAGAATGCAGAACAGGGTCTACTAGGGAGATCTAAGGTTGTGGAAGCAGAAATAGGTTTGAAAATCAGAGATGACCACCCTCTCATCAGTAACCAGGGCTCCTGAGGGCACGGGCCAGGGCTAGGAGCAAGTCATTCGGTTTTGAAGGTGAAGCCAGCACACTGATTTTAGAGTAAGATGAAGGAAAGGGGGAAGGTGTGATGAACACTATTCTCTTGGCTAGTGGATGGACCCTCCAGTTCTTCCAGAGTGTGATGGTTGCCCTACTGAGCCAGCCTGCCAGGCCCTCCCACCTTGGGCGTGGCTTACCCGGGCTAGGCAGATGGATTGGTTCCTAAAGCAGCGGTTCAGGAACTTGATCTTTTTATCACTGCCTCCGCCCCACCGCATCCCGTTCTCCACCACCCGACGAGCTCCACCCCCTGGTAGGGGTGGTACTCTAGCTTCTGGCTCGGAAACACTTCTACTGGATGGCCTTGGGCTGAGAGGCAGCGGCATCCTGTTCCCCAGACAACCTACTACCATTTCATCATTTATCTGCCTCTCCATCCTCGATTTAAGTTCTTACAGGGTAAGGGCCATTACCCTAGAAACCACTAAATAGTGGTACTGTATTGCTAACGAGCGAATGAATGAATCAAGCAATTCCCTTGGCTGGAGCTGAGGTGCAGGTGTGATTACCCAGGTCTGGGCTGAAACCCTGGACACTGGAGAGCGGGAGGTGAGGGCTGGGAAGGGGCTGGGAAGGGCCTCGAAAGGGGCAGTCAATGAATGAACAGTAGCGTACATTCCATAGTGTAGGAGAAAACGGCGTGTCCTGCTAAACAGGTCTGGTCACCTGACACTTTTCCTCTGGTTTTGGTTTACCCCTCTTTATTGCTCTCTCACTGTGAGCTCCACAAGCTCTAACTGCCTCATTGTTGGTCACTCACGTTTTTACTGAAATCATTTTGTTGTGATGTCTGTGTTTCTCCTATACAGGTCTGAAGAGTGGATGCTCACATATGTTTCTTTGTGTAACTGTCTCTTCAGAAAAGAACTCTGGGCTCTACAAATTTAATTACAGTGGTGGGAATTCGATTTTTTGCTGTACCCACACTGAGCACCTACTTTGCATGACTAGGCTCGTGCAGGCCCCCTCTCTACAGCCCCCACCCCCATGGTGCTTGACTTTGGGGAGTTCACCAGCTAAGGTCATACTATTTAAAAATATGTCCTGAATTCTAGTTAACTGTGCTTCTGTGTCTTTCTCACTAAACTATGGGCTCCAGGAGCAGGGTCCTAGAAGCTAGCACCCTGCCCTCAGAGTCTGCTCAATGAATCAGTAAGAAGGAAATTGACAATAATAGAAATTTTGATCCTTCTGGAAGTAGCGGGGAAGTAGGAGTCCTCCTTAGAAAAGTGTCTGCTCCTAAGCAATATCAAATGTTCGCTCTGGACCCATGCCCAGATCCAGGCCATAATTTCAAAAAGGAGATTTCTAAAGAGCAAGAAGCCTGATCTCTTCTGTCTTGTCCATACCCTAGTTTTCTTACAGCCCACCCAGAAAACAATTGGCAGAATGTTAGTAAAAATAAACATGTTATCTAAAATGTGTTTTAGGTGTCCTTCTTTTTGACAATTTTAAAAAGAAAAAAAAGGGGGTGGGGGATGGGATCGGGAATTGAACCCCAAAGGCATTCTTGAATTTGATCCCTAAAGGGAATTCAGAAAAAGTGAGTTGAGGCAATGGATCTAATCCAGGCTCTCTCTCCCACCTTTCACCAAACGCAAAATTTTCCCATTAAGAAAATGAGCAGCAAAAGAAGAGTTCCAGATACAATCCAACAGGAAGAACTCTGAGGCCTTCTCTACCCTAACAGAGTACATCCAATTTTCCTTGAAGAGTTGTCAGGTATAAGCCAGAACTGGCAAACAACAGCCATTGTGACAACAGCTATTAAATCCATTGTTGGATTAGGTGGTAGTTATTTAATAAAGGGCTAGGAAGTGCTGAAAATTGTTAAAAGTAAATTCATTCTTTTTGCTTTTGATGTGAGTTCCTAAATTGTTGAGTCCCAGAAAAATGAGAAGCTTAAGACTCTAAAAAGATCAGCTTTCCTAGCAGTCTGAATGCTAATCTACACTTTATATCTCTGAAAGGATTCGATTGTTTCCTTCAACTTTAAAAGACTGGACTGGATCAAGGCCATACTAAGTGGGTAGCGCTCTGAAAAAGTGACAGGGTTAGAGCTGTCTGTGGAAAGCAAAGAGGCACTCAGTCTCAGCTCCACCCAGCCCAAGGCCTG